AAAACAGCTAGAGATGATGTCAAAGACCTTTTTATAAACAATTAAAACATACACAGAAAATGCCCATAGTCTTTGGACATTGTGGTGTTTACCGGATGTGGCTGCTGAAAAGTGTGTGTGATTATTCTCTACTGTGCACTGAAATTAACAAGCATTTGTCTGTTGGCTTTTATTGTAATATCTAGATTACCTCTGAGATAATGCATGCTCTTCGTTAGAGGGAGAGCCTTTCCATTTCAAGGCCTGTTTTGGCCTTTCTAACCAGGAAAGCCCAAGAGTGACATGATGACTCTCCTTATTGAATTAGAGTTTATTAAATTGGAAGTCAGTCACTGAAATGTGGCTTTTCTTTCCCCGTGGGAGCTGACAGTGCCTTTAAAGAACACACAGTTTTATCCAAAATGTAATTGTAGCCTCTGTGGGAAGGTTGATAATGGCTGAGCCAAGAAGAGCCTTGCTCTCACTGTCCAGCACAGGCCGATTTCTCCTGGCACTTATTCTTCCAGTCCTGTTGGGGTAGAAATGAAGCTGGAGGTACATCTACAGAATCCATTAGCGTCCCTTTGGGATAAAGCTGTCAGCAGCTTCATGTCTTGAACTTCTAAGAGGCATGTTGTGTCCTTGACTAAGAAATGTTGTGTTTCCTCATGTGTCTGATAAAGTAAACATCTGTGATGCTGAAGGCATAGTGCCAGGTACATCTGTGTCCGTAGACAATGCTGTTAAATTAAGGGTTGCCCTGGATAATGACTGACCTGCCATAGAGTTCATTTGGCATCATTCATTTGTTGTCTTGGGGCACTTTTTCTCCCTGCGTTTTTGATCGTGGATTTATGTCTGTCTTAAACTTTAATCTCACTATTGGTGTTCTAACTGGTTACTCTCTAAATGAGCTAAACTTTCTGTTGTCACAGAAAGCTGCATATTCCTTCAGTGACAGTAAGATCCCTGCAAGCAAGAATCATTTCTTACCTTTGAGGTTTCCATAGACCTAGCAAAGGCAAAACCGCGAAGTGCTTTGCTGTTTCAAATGGCTCAGATAAAACAACTGGTGGTGAGACGAGTAGGGAAACTAAAGCGTTTTAAAACATCCTCTTGATTCTAGGTCCCAGTGGCACCACAGAAAAGCGTGAATTAGATATTCAGAAAGAGGTTTTTTCCATTCATTATCCATAGTTTTTTGTTTGTTTGTTTTTTCTTTTTGTTTTTTAACTTAATGACATTTCCTAGTCTAAGAAGATCTAAAAAGGATTCAGAACACATAGATTCCAAGCACTTGGATTTAAGAGACCTTTAGTTATACTTATAAATTCATATTGTAAGTATCTGAGTTATTTTTCCTAGTCAGTCTTTATGTTCCATCAGAGGAGAGAATATCTCTTCAGTGAGAGATGAGATAGCCTGGCATATTTCTCAGATAATAATGCACTTCACTAGTAAGATCCTAAGAAATGTAATTCATGTCCACATGTAAATAAAATACCAGACATCTTAGTTGCTTCTAATTTGATGAACAAAATAAAGTGGCTGTGAGTCTCTATTTATTCATGGGTGATTGACAAACAGGCCTAACAGGAGTGCAGGTTTTTTTTAAAAACACGTAGGAGTTTTCCTATTGAGACACTAAGATAAGAATCTTCTAATTCTGAAATATTTACATAAAAATTTTCTCCCTAAACTTCTTAATTTTTATGGATATAAATATTGACATTATTTATGGTTTCCTGAAGAAAGCAAAGTAATTTAAAAATCTAGGCGTTTCTCAACCTAACAATAAATTTACAGTCTCTAAAATATGCTTACTTAGAAAGATAGAAAGTACAAATAAGCTAAGAAAGTACAAATACTTTTTCCATTTTACTTATTCCATTATTCAGGGCTAAACCATATAGATGTAAACATTTTGAAATATATATCCTAGAAGGCATTTTTTCCTTTTCTCCATATACATATGTGTGTTGGCTGTTTGTTTTACAGGATAAAGCTAAAATTATGTGTACTTTTCCCCTGAACATCATTTTTATTGGTTGCAGGATAATACATTATGAATGTAGAGGGACCTTAATTTATATCTAGTAATCTTTTGTTGGTAACCTCCAGATTTCTAGTGGGTTTTGTTGATAAATTATTTGACTTGCAGGTTTCTAAAGCCTTTCTTTATAACACTACTAAAAATTGTAGTTTATTTCCTGAGTTAACTCCTCAGGTCCTAATTGATACCTGTCACATGGCCAAGCTTCCTGCTGTACAAATGGTACTCTAGTGTTTAAAACACAGAATCTGCTTATTATTTCCATGGAAGTCTTCGTAATCCGGTCAGCACTTGGTATACTGTTAGACATAATGGAAACTGAGCAAAATCTGAATGAGTGGGAGCTGGGATTCCCTCTCTGTCCAGGTTGTCCTGGCCAGAGCAGCCAGGTAGAACAGATGGTGCTCACTTTCTGGACTGTGGGAAGAAGGTTATGGAGAGCAGACAGGGCACACTGGATAGCAGGATTCCCTCGTCATCTTGTGTGTTCGGCAGTTGTTAGTACTTTGGCAGTAGTAGCTTTGATAAAGAAAGCTCCTTGGAAAGAGTGTTTATCACTGGCAAAGCTGAGGGAGCAGGGGGGAAGAAAAAGATATACTGAAAAACAAACTTGACCTTAATTGAAATTTAGAAAACACTACACCCAATAGCAACAGAACAAACATTTAAGTACACACAGAACATTTATTGTGTTCTGGGCCATAAAACAAGGAATTGAAGGGCAGTTTTCTAAAAAGTTGAAGCATATGCCCATCATTTCATCCAGGTATTCCATTTCCATTACCCAAGAAGAAAGAAGACTTATGTCCATCGATACATGAATGTTCGTAGTCATTTTATTTGTAAAGGCCAAAAACTAGAAGTAACCCCAGTGTTTCATAAACAAGTGAACAAATGAACTGATGTATTCATACCACAGAATACTACTCAGTAGTAAAAAGGAGTAGACTGTTGATACATGCAACAACATGGATGAATCTGAATTATGCCGAAGTGAAAGAAGGCAGACAAAAAAGGATACATACTTTATGGCTCCATTTGTATAAAACTTTAGAACATACATACTAATCCATAGTGACAGAGGCACATGAGTGATTGCCAAGGAATGAGAATAATAGGACAAGATGGAAGAGGATTAAAGGGGCATGAGATAAGGAAACTTCCGGGGGTGATGGATATGTTCATTATCTTGACTGTTGTGATGGCTTTACAGGTTATACATAAGTCAAAACCTATCATTATATGTCAGTTATACCTCAGTACAGCTGTTTAAAATATAAATAAGGCATTCATGATTTTAGGGCTGCTTACATTATCATAATGTTTATTATACAGCTACATGCAAATGGTATGTATGACACTGTACCGTGTACTGTACTAGACCAATAAAAAGGGTCTTGCTTGCTGGTTTGTACTTCTTCAAGCCAGAATCAATGAAAAGTGTTAGGATTCTAACAGATATTCTCCTTACTTCTCACGAAGGAAAACCCTTCCATAATTATATGTGGTTTACAGTTGAGCATTGATTTTTTTTTTCCCCTTGAGCAACATGATTTCTAATGAACTCAATCATGTATGAGCTTGATTTAGAGAAGAGGAATAGAAAATGTGGGCATGAACTTGAACTCATAAAAACAGTAGAATGGTTACTACCAAGAGCTGAGGGGTAAGAGAAAAAGAGGGGAGATGTTGGTCAAAGGGTACAAAATAGTTAGAAGTTGAATAAGTTCTGGGGAACCTAATGCACAACATTGTGACTATATTTAAAATACTGTTTTTTATATACTTGCAAGTTGCTGAGAGTTGATCTTAAATGTTCTCACCACAATAAAGAAATGGTAATTTTGTGATTTGATAGAGGTGTCAGCTACTGCTATAGTAGTAATTTTCCAATATACATATATATATATATATGTGTAAATTTATTAGATCAAAAAGTATATCTTAAATAATGTTGTATGTCAACTATTATCTGAAAGCTGGAGGAGGGGGAACTGACTAAAGGTACACAAAACAGACTCAAATAAGCAAGTAGAAACAAAATCTGGTGGTGATAACTCAGTGGTTACTCCTGCCTTCTGAATCAAGACCGTATTCCTGAGCCAATGACTTGATGCCCCGGTGAATTGATCCTCCATCCCTGTTCAGTTTTGGCTCACTTTTCTCCTAGAATACACTGTGGTCTCCCCCTCTTCATTGCCTTGGTGAATTCTTTTTTCTGCCTGTGACTTTTCCCCACCTCACCTTTTTATATCTACGTGGGAAATTCTATCCTTTAAGTTTCAATTCAGATGCCAACATGTTTACACATTTCCAGCTGGAAGGATCAGAGTAATCTATGTTTTGTATTTTAAGACACATCAAAAATACATACATTGTACCCTAGGCCTTATAGGTCAGTGAGTTCTGCTCTGCTGTTTTGGAACTGAACAAATGCAGAGTTACGCATCTGGCTACTATTTAGATGCATTTCAATTGTTTAATAAACTTTTGCATTTATTAAAGTTATTGTAATTATCAATGCCAATGTGGGACACAATGGTCAAGACAGTCAGGAGGAAACGAAAATTTTTTCAGTCTTATTTTTGAACCGCATTCTATGTTCATTTGATTAGACCAGAGGAGTATTAGATTTACTGTCCTCATGACATTTTTTTTTTCCTTAAGCTATTATTTTAATTGTGGACCCTCTCTTTTCCTCACATTTTTGGAACCAAGCAGTGGCTAATTGGAAACGGAGAGGTCATTTTGTAGATTTAAATCAGCTACCAGTGATTGGCTCTGATAATCCACGCAGATACTCGAGAGTTGGCTCAGTGGCACCTTAACATTAGAGCACTCATTATGTCAGGAGAGAGCGCGAGTTAGGTAGGAGTCATGGAATATTTGAAGAAATGGGTTCTTGGGATTTCAGTTGAGCTATTCAGTTTGTCCACGCCCTTGATCTCTTCTCATGTTTATTTTTCAGGTCCGGACTCTCTTTGTCAGTGGTCTCCCTCTGGATATCAAACCTCGGGAGCTGTATCTGCTTTTCAGACCATTTAAGGTACCTGTTGTATCTTTCAGAAATTGTAAAAAAAAAAGAACCAAAAGTGTGTGTATAAGGTTCATGGGGCTTTTTGAAGGAAGTAATGAAATGTTTGAGAAAGTACCCTATAAAGTCATGTTTTTAAAAGGCTAATGAGTAAAGGAGATTTAACTACTCAGTTCTAATACATTCTCACTTAGGAAAGACTGAGACTGCCTTTTGTCCTCCCAGCCGCTAACCTGAAGAAGTCTCTCACTGACGTGGGCATGTGCCTGTTTCTGTTTTATTGCGTACAACAGCCTTAGTGTCCTCCCTGTTTGTCCTTTGCCAGTTGGGGTTGTTTTTCTGAGTACAGGTCACCAGAAAATATTATCAATTACTTATGTATCTATATTTCAAATACAATAATATAAGTTAAACGCTATTCCTAGGAGGTTCCTTTTGAGTTGAAATACTGCTGTTGATACTATTCTTTGAAGACATAATAGGGTAAATGAACTTTATGAACTAGACTAGGAACCTAACACCATTATGTTTTCCATAGGCAGCCTGCCCTAAGTTTCAAGCATAGTAAAACAAAATTTTAAAGAGTTGTTTGGTATGAGTGGAGGGTAATCTTTCCTGGTGCTTAGTGAAGTATTTAATGCAATTTTCTGTCCATTGTGACTATCAAGACTAAAGTACTTTAGAGATACTTAATGTTGCTGGGGTTGAAAATTTAACAAGAAATTCAACTAAATCTGGAACAACCGTGGTCTAAGGAGAAACCTTGCAGGTTAGCCTTTGGAGGATAGGAGAAAGCTGAGACTGGGCAAAATGTGGGCTGGAGACCTTAGCCCTCAAGGAATGAACCTGGAGCTCATGATAAATTAAGACCTTATGTCTGAGCTGGTTATGTCAGCTGAGGACATGTCAGCAGCAATGCCTGGCCAGGGCCACACTTATGATTACATGATAGACCATCTTGAGTTCTAGTTAAAGATCCATCCTGATAGAAGCAGGACCCCAGCCACAGAGGTAGGACATGTCGAGGGACAGTATGTAGCTTGTTAGGGAGAGTGGGGAGGATCTGGCCCTGAAAACAGCTGGGTAGGAGAGGGTAGAGGAGGGTTGAGCGGCCAGTTAAAGCAACGAAGGTAAAACAGAATCTAGCTTATGTACCAAAAAGGCACCACGTAATAGTGGACATAACTCCATTCTGACAGCTATCTTCTTAATGGAACGATAATGATGACATTACGGAGGGAAATAAAGGTTAGACATGAGGTTAGCTGGGAGGAAATGGGAGAGAAAGAGAAGGTGTGGGGAGAGTGCCAACTTTATAGGATTTCCTGAGTTTCTTCTGCAGGGTTGCAGTTTTTTTTTTGTTTTGTTTTGTTTTTTTACTATCTGTCCCTTTTGTAGGATGAGGACTTTTTAAGCTAATTGATCCTATTAATGGACAAAATAATTACGTTTTCATATGTGTATAGAGAGACTTTGCATCAAGCCCCCTATGAATTATCTCACTTAATTCTCACCACATTTCTTTAACGTGGATTGGCCTCATTTTTTTTCAGATGAGGGAAATGAAACTTGGAGCAGTTGAATAAATTCTGTTCAAGTTTATACACATAATAAATGGCAGGGCCAGGATTCAGACCCAAGCATTTTGACTCTGCAATCCCTGTTCTGAACTGTTATGTGATACTACGTCTCTCTTTGTGACTTGAGAGGATAATATATCCCTACCAGTGATCTTTTACTTGAGTGAAATATCCATTTGTCCTTTGCCTCTAAGACCTTCAGGGTGTTTAAACCTTCAGGTTTTTCAGAGAGTGAGAACACCTTGAAAAAGGAAGCGGCAGGGCTGTGAATCATGACCTCTCTGGCCAGAAGAGCTCAAGGCCTTTGAGGTAAAATGTTTACAGTAGCTAATTGGTAACATAGTTCTCTGCTGGGAAGATAGGAGTATGAATCAATCCCAACATCCTGCCCAGAAACCCCAACGCTAAAGTCAGGACCCTGGTACATTCCTAACAACCCTCTTTTAATTAAAGTCCCCGGAGGCTGACCCTTGTCTGCAAATCTGTCTCTGTACTGATAGGTGTGGTGGTCAATCATGTCAAGTGGTGTTTTTTCCTTTCTTGTGTCATCCATCAGTCAAGCCACCGGCCATTGATTATTTTCAGAAATAAACAGACTTTGTTATACTTATCCTGGGGAGCCAGGAGAGGTGTAAAGGGAGGGGTGGAAAGGAGTGTTTCCATCTCCCTGGAGGATGAACTGGAGTGAAAAAAATCCAGCAGGGAATTTTTGCATCTCCAAATCAGAATACCAACATGAAAACTGACAGCTGCAGTAAATAAGCAAAAGAATTCAACAAAATTTAGCATGACTGCTTGTTTAACCTTTCCTGGCAGTTTTGAAATTTTCATTAATAAGTTCTACTAAGTATATTCTTAATGTTTTATTGTTGTTTTATAGCAAATATATGATCAAGTCATCACATACTCTGACCTTCCTCATTTGGTTCCCCCCGCCCCCTTCCCTCTTCTTGTTCTGTAAAATGAAAAGGACCTGATGTTGACGTAGACACCATTTTCTTACCATTCCATAATTTCATGAAAATATATAGAGGAAAGAAACATCAGTGCATGAATTTCGGGACTTGATTTCTCTTGGGCCCAAGTATGCAAACAGGATATACATTGTGGGTGTGTGGGTGTGTAAAATTTGTTTCCCCAGTTAACTTAAGAAGCATTCGTGAGAAGAGTTAGTCCATAGTCAAAAAGGACTCATTTTCACTTGAGCAAGTTGCTTTATAATTGCTTTTTTCCCCTAGTACTTTTTTTGGTCTAAATTTTGGTTCTTTCTTTTCAGGGCTACGAGGGTTCTCTTATAAAGCTCACATCTAAGCAGGTAAGAATTTCATACTTGCACATAAATGATCACTTCCACAATAAGTTTGGATTGACTTTCTTCAGAAGGTTACTAGGGCTTGACATTCTTTTTTTTATTCCCATTAAGATTTGATTTGTTGTTGTTGCTGCTCTAAAATTAAGGATGAGATCAGTTAGGAATTAGTACCTGTAAATGATTCCTAACTCTATAGTTTACAGGTAGGGTGTCTGGGACTATCCCCAAGGAAGGCAAATATAATGCATCCAGCGTAGTTATATTAAGATAGAACTGTATGTTTGAAAGAAATTATTAATTACTATCCAAATTCACTTTTATTGCCAGTTCTTTCCTATTTTTTTATAAACTTTAACAAGAAAACTTACCACAATCCAGTATGAGTATTTGAATTGTGAAGAATCACACTGTCTCTCAAACCCCTAACAACCACAGGCAGAATCCCAGGTTTGTAATGTGGCACAGAAGGTGCAGAGTGGAGGCAGTAATCAATAACCCTGATGGTGCCCGCAAGTGTCTTGACAATTTTTAGATGTATGCTTTCTTTTTTTTTTTTTTAATTGGCTGAGCAGTCAGGGTGCTCACCTCTTCACTTCTCATCAGTAAGGTATTCTCTGGTTCATCAGAAATATGCTGTTGCAACCATCCTTCTGGACTGAAAGATACTGAGTTCAAAGGAATTATGACCCCTCTCTCTTTAGTTGAAACAATATGGTTTACAACTAATTGAACACAAGACTTTTTTAAAGGCATCCTTTGGGATTTGAGATGAAAATGTAGGTTATATAATTTTGATCATGCAGTGAGAAGACAGGGCTTTTATCATTGTGTCATTATATTCCTTGCACTTACAGTGTACCGAAAGGTGATTCGATTTTCTTTCCATTTTAAACGATGAAGAAACTGAGGTACAGTGAATTTGATTTAGGAAAGTAGAGCCTCTCCACCCAAGTTTTCTCTATTCCCTTGTTCACTGCTGCTCACCTTCCAACCCCTTCTAGATTTTTTTATGATTCTCTTAATCCCCAGCTGTGCCCTTGAAGAACCACCTTCACAATCCCCTTGATTCATGTTAGAAATTTGGCTAAGCCACTGAGTCATGATTCTTCTGGGCTGGCTTTCTTATTTCTACCCATTGCCTGTGGTCATTTCTTTATCTTAGCTCTTCAATTTGACATCACTTTTGACCCAGAAAAATAGACATCCTCTGATTTGTTTTCCTTCATATTTTTTTCTCTTTCCTTAGCCCGTAGGTTTTGTCAGTTTTGACAGTCGTTCAGAAGCAGAAGCTGCAAAGAATGCTTTGAATGTAAGTACTAATGGTGTTAATTGTTGGGAATTTCCTTATGAGGTGGTAGGAAGTAATAGAACTTCTTTGGATAGGAAATCAAATGGCAGGAATATGACAGCTCAGTCTAACAGGGAGGGATTCATTAGTTAGCCCTCTAAAAATATTTTTTGTCTTTTAGAATTGTGATTGGATGTGCTATCAAATAACACTTGGCTCTTCTCTAGCTTTACTGTAATACTCAACATACCTGCTAACATGGGTCTTACTTTAATTCAACTCAATCACATGCAGGGTGGTGTCCAGTTTAGTTAGGCCATCATTATGCTCTCAATGGCTAAGCCTAAGCCAAGAACAGATTACAGTCGTGGCTTTCCTTATCACATGAGGTTTTTGTTTTAGGTGTGTGGATTTTTTTTTAAAACAGGTCATAGTCTTTATTCTGATTGATTTGAAACTTGCATATATGGCTTTCCCAAAAGACATTCTGCACTGTGATATAATAAATGATAGTCAACTCTAATTGAATAGAGATACCTGTATTTGGTTTGTAGGCATTTTGTCTGCTAATTTTTTTAGCCTTTTACTAGCTTTGTTTTAGCAAATATTTTTCCCCTTTGGTATGTTAAAAAATAAAACAACTTAAGGAGAACCAAGCCCAGAGAAGGTGGAAACACAGTTGAGGAGGGCTGTAGGAGAGACCCAGTCTAATGACTTGGAGGCCTAGGGAAAGGGCCTCTTAAGGGGTCTGTTTACTTGGCGTGATAGTGTCATAGTGACATGGTCTTGAAAGGTTTTTAAGCTTGAGGAAAAAAAATGTGTACACTCTCAGAAGACTGGTTTGCTTGTTACTGCTGTTGGTTTTTCGTAAAAGCACACAGGAACATCTTAGGAATCCAGGAGCTCCGAACTGCTCAGAATTTTTTTGGATTTGGATAAGTGACCTTCTAGTCAGCGTAACTGCTTACTCTGTTCCTCTCCCACAGAACAAAATGTAAACCAATTATTTACTTCAACAGTACCGACGCACAGTGTATAATTGAATATTCTGATGCAAAAAAATTATAAAACCATTTTGTATTACATAGATACAATCAGAATCTTAATATAACCAAATTTTAAACTTGCAAATAAGGCTATGATTTCGATTTGGGCAGTGTTTTCTTTCATTCTAACCAGGTGGCATCTTTCTAAGTGCGAAAGTATTCTGGATCCTTTAAAGCTGTTAGATGACGTTTTCACCAGGTTTTTTCTCATTGTTCTTAATAAAGGAATAACAGCAGTTGAAGCTTGTTTACAGAATAGGCCTTCCGTCGCCTTACTTTGTCTCAGCTCTATGACAACACAGGTCACTGTCCCGCTGTAGGAAAAACAGTAGGCTTTAATAGTCACCTGTTTCATCTGATGAAGTTTTTTAAGTGTTTATAGGGTCATAAACTATTTCCTTTCCTTACTAAGCAGAGTATAGCAAACATCAGTTCCCTTTTTCTCAGTGCAGAGGGTTACGTCAGTATAGATAACAGGTTTGGAGCCCTGCTGTCACACGGTGATAGAGGTGCCCATCCCCATGCCAGCTGGCCCACATCATTGTGCTCTCTTGTCCTGAAGTCTGGTTTTAGGTTCAGTTCTTGTGCTCAGCTCTTTTCACTGGCAGCAAGCTTCCGTTACCAGCACCTTCTCCCTTAATCACTAATGCTGTTTGTTGCTCATGTGTTAATAACGTGGGAAGAACTCCAAGTGCAACAGATCCAGTTCTATTCTATTCTGTGGACCTAAGGATAACTCTCAGTATTTACTTGTGGAGTATTAGACCTGAGCTCCCTTGTGCTCAGAGGTTGCCTCTGATTTTAGAGCATTTATTAAGCTCCTGGTTGATCTCTTTCTCTATTTTAAAATTTTATATGAAAGTATTAGAGGTTTTTGTACTTTAGAACTGTCCTACTGCTATAGTTAAGGAAACTGAGACTAGAGAGGATGGATGGCTCAACCAGGAAGTGTAGGTTTCAAACTACAACTAGACACTCCTGTGTCTTAGTCCTGTCTACTTTATACCATCTTGCTGCTTGCTGGGTCCATGGAATTTTGCTGCATTTTTCCTGGTGGCAGTGACAGACTATTTAATTCACATTGTCCAGGACAAATGGTCATTATAAAGTTTGGTACGTGACCATGGAGCCAGGGTTTCCTCTCTCTGTGGAGAAAATGGGCCGATTCAGGATGCTGTACTTAATCATGAAGCTAACACATCTTCACCATGACCCAACACATTTTGCTCTTTCAGGATCATTTTTTCTAATTGGTGAATTAAAAACATACGATGCTCATAGCTATTAAAAAATTTTCTCCTCTCATGTCATTCATCCAGACTTCTCTTAAAAGCTCTTCCTCGCATTCCTTTGGGGGAAAGTTCCACGTTGTAATATTTTGTTTCATTCTACTATTAAGAAACTTAAGCCTCAGTTCATTAAGTCCCTCCATATAGAACAGTTTACAGTGTTATGAACCACTTGTCAATGTTTAGAGCTTTCCTTCTTGTTATTTCTGTCTTGATTAATGTTTAGTTCAGTTATTAGTATTAATAGTCTTCCCAAAATGACTTTAAATGATTTTTCAATCCATTTTCTTCCATTTTTGGATTATGCTTTAGGCAATTTGATAATTTTATGGAAAAACATGCTCAGATTGAATTAAGTGGTAACGCTGAACTTTTATCAGGGGGTTAGTCAAATCTTCTAAAGTCAAGTCAGTATATTTTGTTCTTGTAGCAAAAACTCCCAAACTAAGCCAAATTAAGCTAAAAATAACCCAAACACAGACTTACTTTCAGGTTATCTATGGCCCTATTAATCCACATGATTAGAAACTCCATCCATTCTTTAACCCAATAGCAAAATATCTGACCTATTCTTTATCCTTCACACACGTTTGTAGTTACTGTACCAGCTTTCTGTTCAGTTTTCCATGCTAATGGAAGGGGGAGCTGATAATCCAAATTATCAAATTATTTTTAGGATTCATTTATAATTTTGGAATGAAAATCAAATACATTGACAATGAGAGTTATAACCTAGCAGAATTTTGATAAGTGGAAATTTTAAGAAGAAACATAGGAAGCAAAGCAGGCCTAGGGGTGAGGATCCTGAGCAGAGGTGGGAATAAACCATCTCTGGCTAGTCCTACCAACTGTGAAGACCCCCATGTTGCCATTGTTGTGTAGCTGAAATTGTGTTTTCATAAATAAGAATAATTTGTAGTGAATACTTAAGATCCACAGGCCTGTCCTGGTCCCTGCTTGTGTAAAGTTGCGTAACAGGCATTGTCTCCTGTTGGTGTCTTACTTTGGTGGGATTTGCTCACCTAAAGAACTTTAGACGGTTGTATGTGGCCTCTTGAGTATATGTGCCAGTTTGTTTGATATCCCTCGTCCTCTAATTTTAAATAGTTGTTATTGGCCTAGGTTTTATCATAGGCTTTATTATACGTTATTTTATTGGAACTAGAGAAATCTCATGCACTCAAACTGTGTATATTACTATAAATTGCCTTCACAGCTAAACGTTACTTAGCCTAGTACAATAATTTGCTTTATTCACAATCTAGACTCACTGATCTAAGTGATCTCTAATTATCATTGCACCCCAAGTCTATTGGGTCCTTTTAAAAATAGTTTTATTGAGATTTAACTTACATACCATATAATTCACCCACTTAAGGTGTACAGTTCAATGGTTTTTGATGTTACATTATTTTTTAATTATAAAATATAACAAAATTTGACACTAATGATTTTTAAGTGTACAATTCAGTGTTAATATTTACCATGTTGTACAACTATCATGACTGTTTCCAAAATTTTTTCATCACCCCAAACAGAAACTTGAATCATTAAGCAATACTTCCTCACTTCTCCTTTCCTCTAGTCCCTGGTAACCTCTAATCTGTTTTCTGTCTCTGTAGATTTGCCTATTTTAAATATTGAAATATTTGTCCTTTGGGGTCTGGTTTCTTTCACTTAACATGATGTTTTTTATGATTAATCCACGTTGAAGCAGCTATCAGAACACCATTGGTTTCTATAGCTGAATAATATTTCATTGAATGGGTATGCCATATTTTGTTTATCCATTCATCTGTTTATGGACACTTGGGTCGTTTCCACCTTTTGGCTATTGAAAACAGTGCTGCTATGAACACTAGTATACAAGTATCTGTTTGAGTCTCTGTTTTCCAGTTCCTTTGGGTATATACTTAGGAGTGGGATTGCTGAGTCATGTGGTGTTTATATTTTTAGCTTTCTGAGGAACCTCTAAACTTTGCTATATTGGCTGTACCATTTTACATTCCCACAAGCAATGTATGATGGTTTCAGTTTTTCCTGTTCTCATTTATACTTGTTATTTTCTGTTTTTTAAAGTTACAGCTGTCCTAGTAGATGTGAAGTGGTCATTGGTTTCTTAAATACTTATTGACTAATTTCAGTAGTAGATTTGGGTTCTTTTGGAATCCCACATGACTTAAAATAGTGTTTCTGAATGGAGATTAGTAACATTTCTTTTCTGTGATGGCCATTTCTAATTAATCGAACTGTGTTACTCTTAAATAGTGTATCTGTTAAAGAAGAGAGGCAAAACCCCAACCCTTGGATGATTCATTTAATAAGATAAGACTTGGATTTTGTATTCTTTTATATACAATTTGCAAAACATGAAGGAAAGGTGTTTTCTTAAGGTCTAAACAAACTTTGTATTAAAGAGATAAAAGCAGAAAGGTGACAGTTAATAGGTGGAAAATGAAGAGAAATTGAGGATATACAGTATTATTTATTGGTTATTGAAGAAATTTATTCAGTAGTGTGTGTGGTAAAAAATTTTAGAAAAATCTTTAATAACTTTAAGAAAGCATGTTGATAAGGTATTTGATAATTTCACACGTTGAAAGAAACAAGTGATATAATCAGGAAAACTTAAAAATTTTCTCCAGCTCCATGAATTTCTGGCTTTGAAAGAAACACTATAGTTATT